TGTGAAATTACCCCACCACTTGATACCTTCTTCCATGCCCTAGGTTGTTCTGTCAAACCCCAGTGCTTCTAGGTATTGAGAAACATAAGAGCTGCTGGGAAAAGTGATGGGGTCTTTTAAGATTTCAGAAAAAGATTTTTATAACGAATCGTGTCCTTGTTGGCCCTCAGGCATATACTTCCAAAATGCCAACAGTAAACTTTACCACTGCTCTCAAACCCTCACCTAACTCACAAACCACTGCAACATTTCCACAAAGGTGAACTCATTCATGGAAAGTTTTGTTCGTTGGTGGCTACAAGAATGGAGGCTAGTCCTGAATAAATGGGCATCTTTACAAAACATCAAAATATTATATATTAGTGGTAACTTCTTCCACAGCAGAAAGCGCGAATACTGCAGGAAATGTCCAATCACGCATTCCAACGGTCTCTTAGAGTCCGTTCACACTCTCTATGAATGGCACCCTAAGCGCACCTCACGCCCGCAGTGCTATCATCCGTCTGGTATAGCAAACAACAACTGAAAAATTAGTGCGTACTATTTTTTACAATCGCACCACAACGCGCAGTATTTGTGATCAAATAAATGGCACGCAACGCAACTCCCGCACTGTCACACAGCAGGTGCACTGTGAGGTACTGTGTGTTAATTGCATGGAACCGAGAAATTACTGCACAGCGCACCTCCTGTGTGATTACAGTGCGGGAGGTGCGTTGCGTGCCATTCATTTGACCACAAATACCGTACGTTGGTGTGCAGCTGAAAAAATTAGTAGAAAATAGTATGCACTATTTTTTCAATTGCACAGCAACGCACGGTATTTGCTATACTGCACGGACGATTGAACTGGGCGTGTGAGGTGCGTTTGGGGTGCCATTCAAATGAATGGCATGCAACACATCCTGCACTGACAATCGCACGCAATGTGTGCTGTGCGGTACCATGCAATTAACGCATAGAGATAGCGTGAACGGGCCCTGAGGCAGCAATAACAGTCATTAAGTCCGAAGCATTTAATGTGCTGCAGGCCGGTATAACTCACTAAGGGCTCAGTCACACTAGATGCAGTGTGTTCCAGCCCGATTTTGGCCGGAACGCACTGCCTCGCATTGCGGCCGCCTCACTTTTTAATGGACTGGAAGGGGCGTGGCGGGCCATTCAAGTGAATGGCGCCGTAGCCACGCCCTCCGGCCGCAATGCGATCCGCCGCACAGGATCGCAAGGCACATTGTGCATGCGGTCCGAACCTGTGCGGTGCGATCAAAATGCTAGAAGCACTATTTTGATCGCATTGCACGGGGCCGGACCGCAGGCACAGTGTGCCTTGCAAATGGCCCGCCACGCCCCCTCCTTCCCCACTAAAAAGTGAGCCGGCTGCAATGCGAGGCAGTGCGTTCCGGCCAAAATCGGGCCGGAACGCACTGCATCTAGTGTGACTGAGCCCTTACTGTTACACATTTTTGCACTGAGCAAGAGTTGCTCTCAGCAGGCATCAGGTATATGCACCATGACCCCCCTTTAACACCTATGTGATCAAAGCTTGAAGGTAAAGGATGTTGCTATTTACAAACATACAAGCGAATAAGGAGTCATGACAAAATGTCCTTACAAAACCACCTAAAAACTTTGCACTGTATCTGTGTAAGATGTAACACCATCTTATTTCTTCAACTTCCATCAGAATCATTGTTTCTGCTAAAAGAATAAGTATTTAAGGTAAATAAGCAAACTTGCTATCTCAGCATTCTTGTACAGATTCAAAAAAAATTGAAGGTATGGAATCAGGAGACTCTATAAATGGTGAACTGATTGTGGTTATTTACAGGACTGAACCTGCACACACTAATGACTCATCTATCTAAGCCATCCAGATTTTTACTAAGTCTCCAGTCTTAGGACCTAATCCTCACAAATGCTAACTATCTAAACAGCTTTTACAGTCCGACATAAAACACTGGTTAGGAATTTCTATCCCACAGCCAAGAAAATGAATATTGAACCAAGAAGCTTATCTACAACATGTTATTGGAAATGCATGCACGTGAATACGAACAGAGTACCTACCTTAGATGATATAATCCTGTTGTCTGCAAATTTCTGTGGAACATAATGGCCATGTTGAGGGAACCTGTTCGCAACATATACCGTCCGTGTTTCACTGTGATTTGGAGGGTCAAATCCCTTTAAGAGAAAAATACCATTCTTAAGTGTATTATTCAAAGACCATCAAACCAGGATGAACAGTATCAGCTCTGAAATGCTAAGGACTAGACTGTCCACTTTACACTTTTAAATTGCAACTATGTATAAAGTGCGTAAGGGTGTGGGCTAGTAAGAAGCTTGGTCATTGTTTCTCTTGGGATCTCTAATCCCCGCCCCTACCATTCAACAATCCAATGCAACAACCTCTGTGGTCAATAGATAATATGGCAAAAACGACGATTCCGCCTATTGTGCCGCACATGTTACATATTGCCGCTGTCGCAGTGAGAGCAGTAATTTTAGGGCCATCAATCACTAAACTGATGAGCGTTAAAAGCTTTTAAAGCGTTGCCTATGGCCAATTTTGGGTGTGGTCGTTTTCTGCGATTTCGCAGGCAATTTTAAAGCTTGACATGTTTGGTGTCTATTTACCCGACGTGACCCCGTCTTTTATGTTTTACCAAAAAATTGGGTAATAAGTGTTTCATAACATTTCCTAGGGAAACAGGTTTTGTTTTTTAAATTTAGGGTACTTTTTTTGTTATATAGTAAAATAAATACCCCAGTGGTGATTAAATACCAGCAAAATAAAGCTCCATCAGGCCCCAAAAAATGGTATAAAATTTCTTTCAGTGCAGCGTTGCATGACGGAATAAACGCCAAAGTACTGCAGCGCTGAGCACTGAAAAATGGCCTGGCCAGGAAAGGGGTGTAACACCCTGGTCAGAAAGTGGTTAAGCCCCTTGGTGGATTTTATTTTCTCCTGCAGTTTGACCATAGACATTTTATCTAGGTCCTTAGTTCTCAACTGGTGGGTCATGACCCAAAAGTGGGTCACGACCCCGTGTTCAGTGGGTCGCTGCCTGCCTTCCACTGTACTAGGTGAGAGGCTCCTCTGCTCGCCACCCCCCCTTAGAGTAACACTGTCAGTTCTGTCACCAAGCAACCATTTAAAATATGATGCCCAACGCCGAGTGTCAGCTTGAGGTAGGGTGGGCTGGGGGTATGGCTGTGAGGGAACTCCAGCTATACATGCATCCCTTACAGCTCCCTTGCATGTCCTGTAGAGGGGCCTGGACCAGAATGATGTCACATTGTGGCTCCTGTCACCTCTACAGGGCACACAAGGAAGCTGTACAAGCAATGCACATATGGATGGAGCACTATCACAACACAGCAGACCACACTGGACCCCAGTGTGTATATGTGTGAATATCTGCAAGTGTGTGAGATTGTGTATGTATGTCAGTGTTTTTGAGGGCCTGTTCACACTAGTACAGTACATTAAATCGCAAAGACATGGTGCATTCTGGTGTGGGAGGTGTGTTGGGTTGCCATTCATTTGAATGGTCCCCCAAACGCACCTCCCACCCACCGTTCGTACGCCCGCATTGGAATGTGCGGTACCCTACTGCCGTGCGTTCCATTGCAGTGCTTGGGTCACGACTTAATGACTAAGGACAAATGTGGTTACACAGGTTGAGAACCATTGATCTAGGTTATCACAGGCATTGAAATCCTGCAGGATCAGGAGTTGGAATGAGGGACCCACGGACTGGGAAGTGCTGTAGGTGGAGACTGGGAAGCAGACAGCCCCTGTGTCTTCATTGGGGAACATAAAGCCACAAATTAGTAGTAGAAAACAGTACACAACTCGTTGCAGGAAGAATGTTCAAATCTCTCTGCTTATTAAATCACACTTTGCCCCTGCAATCAAACTGAGCCTACAAACATAACATTAAAAAAAAATATGGCTCTTTCTATGGTATTTACCACACCTACAGTGAGCAGGCAGAGAAGGCCGCTCCCCTGAACAGGAAGTTAGCTCCCTGTATGAGTGTCAATGCTGCATTTAATGATGGATTACAGGCTACATGGGAAATCTGCACAAGAAGCACTAAACTACTTTTGCTATCGGAGGTGAATGCAGCATTACATTTTACTTTTGTCTATGGCTGGAGTGGGGCTTTAAATAACCATCAGGCTTTTACTAAGCTCTATGTTTGCAGAGTGTTACCCACAATTTATGTCTTAATAACATGTGGCACTAAGACAGGAAGTGAGGCAATCTCTTCAACCTGAAGACAGACATAGATAAAAGCCAGATAGATATTCTAAAGCTGGCCTTTGAGCTGAAGGGGTGGGAGGCTGTTGACAAGGTCACCTATGGAGTGAATTTTGAACAGTTCCTCAGGAACCAGCTCAATTCTTTCTACTTTAACCCTTTCGCTGCCAAAGACGTACAGCATACGGAGCTACAAAAGTGCTTCCAGCTGGCCAGCTCAGTATGCCGTACGGACCTGGCATTTAAATTAATAGCTGTTATCAGCGGCTCATCTTGAGTCTCTCGTCCCTCCCTGGAGCCATCCCAGGGAGGGATGAGAGACTCCATGGATCCCCGCTGCTTGTAGGGTCTGTGGCAGCAGGGATCCGTAAAAAAATCACCGGCGGGGGAGTCGCGGGAACGAGCGGCGGCTAGCCGCAATTCAGGATGGCCGAGCGGTGTTCCGATCCGAGCCGCTGTCATCCTGTCAGTTTTTGGACTGGATTCCTGTCAGAATCTGTGATTCCTGACTAAGAAGCCTGGCTCAGTATTTGCATTCTGGAAAGCCCATTTGACATGGAGGCACCAGGAGGTGCCTGCTATGTGAAAGCATTGGCATTTCTGCCAACATAAATGGTACATCAAGTGTACTTTATAACCATTCCTGGGTAGTATTTCTTTATTATCAAATGAAAACAATTTGCATCAAAATGTGCAGAGCTTCACAATGTAGACACCCGCTTACATACAATTTAAAAGGAGCACGGCCCGTTCACACTAGACACAGTGCGTTCCGGCCCGATTGTGGCCGGAACGCACTGGATCATTTTGTTGGGGGAGCAGGAGCGTTGCGGCGGTGCATTGAAGTCAATGGCACTGCAGCCAGGCCCCCCGCAGTGCAATCGCCCGCACCCGAGTCCAGTCCGCTGCATGCACTATTTTTGCAGATCACACTGGACCGGAACGCAGGCACTAATGTGCCACGAGTTTGGGTGCTGGCGATCGCACTGCTGGCAGGGGGGTGTTACGGGGGGGCGCTTGTCCATTGACTTGCACTGACACGCCCCTTCTCACCCCTAAACGCAGGGAGCCGGCCGGGTTGCTTTTCAGAGGCTAAACGCTCTGGAATGCACTCTTTGGTGTGAACATTCTGCATTTGACAATAAAATCATATTTAATCCTGATGAAGGTTCTGCTGAAGTAGCGAAATATGAGAGATATATTGGGGGAATTAAATGAAGGCTTAGTGCAACTTTTCCGGTGGTATGGACCTTTGAAAGGTCTGCGCCAAATTCAGAGAACCCCAGTTTTTGTAGCTTTATTGACACTTGCAATAGATTCAGGTAGTTCTTAATTGCACCAATTTGTCGATAATTGAAGCAGAACTAAAACCTCCTATCCCTAAGGGCTAGTTCACACCAGAACTGTGTGCGCCTGCGCAGCTGCAGTGTGATGCGTTTTGCAGTGATTTCACCACTTATTTTGATTTTTTTTTTGCTTAAAATGGGATTTCGGGTGAGTTCCAGTGCGTTTGCGATGCACCCCAAAGCAGCTAAAAAGGGCAAGCAGTATTTTTTCTGACTGCATCAGAACGGACTGAACTGGTGTGAACAGAGCACCAGAAATCCCATAGGAAAGCTTTGCAATGCATTTTGGATGCAGCTGCCAAACTGAACGGACTGCATCTGGTGCGAACTAACCCATACAGCCAAGGAAGGTGCCATCTTAGCCTTTATTTGGGGAGCATTTGCCATGGTGCTGCAGCTATGATCATGATGTGAGCCAGCAACCTAGCCCCTTTGCTTACAGTCAGCTGTCAACCATCAATCTCCGAGGTAGCAGCTAACAGAATGCTATAGCCACAGTGGGACATTTGTACATCCATGCTGTTAATAAGCAGATACGGACCTGAAGGAGAACTTTCTTCTTCAGGTCCCTCCTCTGCTGACTAGGGCTGCAACAACGAATCAATTAAATTGATAATAATCAATGAGAATAGTTGGCAACTATACTCATTATCGGTTAGTTGGGGGGGAAGGGAGGGAGGGAGAGATAGAGAGCGCGAGAGAGATATTTTTTTAATGCAACCAATCGATTAGTTAAAAAAAATTAAATCGGGCAACTAAATCGATGATGAAAATAATTGTTAGCTGCAGCCCTACTGCTGACTGACAGTAGGCGGGTGCAATTTGAAATGGCCAATAGCAGGCTGGGTACTGCTCCCAGCTACTGCCTGCTTTGTTTAAAATTATCTGATTTAGCAGGCATCTGTCATTCCCCAGCTAAAACTATTGAAGTGTTAAGGTGACACTAGGGGTCTAATGGAACCCTAAAGCCACCTTAAAGAGAACCTTTCATCTAAAATGTGCTATCACATAGGGGGCTTGTGAGCGCCACCATGTGATAGCAATGAAGTTAAAAAAATAAAGTTAAATTAAATAAAAATACCAAAAAAAAATGTTAAGTCCCCTGCACGCATGCTAACACAAGTCGGGTGCCCCTACATACGAAAACGACGATTGTGCTACACGTCAGCTATCACCGCATGCTCCAATTAAAACTGTACAATTACAATTGTCGTTGAAAATAACGTTTTGCCAGTTAAAAAAAAAAAAAACCTGGCTCCTAACTATTTTAGCATACGTAATTACAGGTTCTCTACCTTTTACAGTCTATTTGCACAATTGGCTTTAAATTCATCAACTACGTAAAGGGAGGGCCTACCTGGTTGCATTTAAAATGGTTGTATGGCTATTCTAAGCTGTGTATTATTGGTCATTGCGAGACTCTTATTCTTTTGGAAATAAACCAGCCGATAACCGTAACACAAACAGCAACAGTTTCAAAATACTGTACCATAAGCCACAGCTTCCTTCCTTCAGAAATATCACTGACGCTTCAATATAGAAAACATTCAAGTCCAGTCATGTATTCA